AGCGAGTGATCGGGTTTAAATGGGTCTGAACTAGGGTAGCACACCGAGCTTTCGGGAACGGCATGTCGGGTAGAGTCTTCGGGGTTGGAGTTATTGGTGAGTGCAAGAGGCAATTGTGAAAAACGCAAAACGCAACGCAAGGCCGAAATCAACACAATGTGCTCACCCCTGGTTCGTGGCAAGGTTTTTGACAAAAAATAGTAGGGGTCTCGGAGGACAGGGTGCTACCCTAGTCTAAACAACCCTTTATCTTATTTTAAGCCTTCAAATCCTCCAATTGTCGGAACAACCATCAAAGACATTAACTTAATAAACCCACTTTTACCAATTATTGAAGCCACAAAACGTATTATGCAAGCATTTAATGATTTGGATGATATATTCATTAAAGGGCCGATTTTGTTTGAAGAAATAATTTTATCCAATTTTAATATTTTTCGTTTAACTGGCAATTTCTCGGTAAATTTTAATTTTAAAACAAAATAAAATTTTGTTTTAAAGGAAAATCCAATTCCAATACCTTTTGATGAGTTAATAAGTTGGGAAGCTTTAGTCCAAAATGAAGGAATGTTTAATAGTAGAGTTCAAAAATGCATGTTAGTTGAAAGACTCTTGTGTGTTGGTATAGCTAAATCTTTACCTGTTTTTGAAAAATTGACTTTATCTGATCAGGTATTAGTTACAAGTAGGGTTGTCGGTTCTTGAAAATTCTTCGGATATCCGAAACCGAACAAAAGAAACAAACCGAAAAATCCTCGGTTCTTCGGTTCGGTTCGGTCCAGAACCGACAACCCTAGTTACAAGTGAATGAGTACAAATCCTTGTATGTGACGTGCAAAGCAGATTGCTTCAGAGGTTTCTGAGTTAATGCCATGCACTTTTACAATATATTTCGAATGGATTCCGCATTTAACAACATATTTACAAAACTCAATTAATGCAAAAATTATCTTTATTTTTTTAAAAAATAGGTTGCACATCTAAGAGAGGCTTCTTATGTGTTTAACTCATTTACAAGCTCCTACATAGCCTGGGAATTAGGTTCTGAAACTTGGACACGTAAAGATTGTGTTATGCCTGCTCTCAGTCTTAAGATGAATAATGAATTTTTACACGATGATAAGTAAATAAATTTTTATTAAGAAAATTCTAAAAAAATTTTAGAATGGTTAAATTGGCAGATTACTCATTTACAAAATCTGTTGCTTACTTTAAACGTGCTGCATTAACAAAAATTGAATTTGCTTTGTTAATAGCTATTATTTTTACAATATCAAGTAAAAACTTTAATTTGTAAAGGCGAATACCGTATATGCTGAAATAATTACCCTCTTTCAGATAATTACCCGCCCTAATGATTACCGAGATATAAACAATAATTACCCAGGGTAATTATTTGAGCATAAGTTTTGTTTGATCTCATTAATTAGATAAATGAGGACTTAAAATTTTCCATGAAACCGTATTTTCTCTATTAGAATGCCATGGCATTCTATCTTTCAATCATCAGAGAATGGCATTCAACTGGAGGGTTGCATTCTAATAGAGAAAATACGTTATCTTAAATTAGAATTGAGCGGGATCGGGATCCAGACCAAAACACCCAAGATCACTCGAAATCCACCCTAATCACAGTGAATCTCCGATATTCTTTTATCCCTTAGCATCCACGATATCTAACTAAAACATTCTTGATCCCTATATATCACACTAAATTCTCTTAAAATTCCCTTTAAGTTGAAAACACAGAGTTGAAAACACAAAGCGAAAATTTTGAAAATTCGGAGGTTAATAGGCCGGAATTCTCCAAAAAATCCGCGGTGTTGCGACAATTGAGGATACGCACTTGAGGATATGACAAATGAGGACGACAATTGAGGATCTGACATATGAGGACGATAAATGAGGACGACATATGAGGAGGGTACAGCCCAAAACAACGCGCGGCCATAACAACGCAAAGCCATAACTGGCTGGAAAATTTCTGGCCCTTATCAAATTTGGTACCAGTCTCTTTAGCTCGTTGGGAGGAATCGTTTAATATCAAAATTGTTAAAATTTGGAAATCCTGAAGCAAGTTATGGCTTTGCGTTGTTATGGCCGCGCGTTGTTTTGGGCGTGTCCCATATGACAATATGCCAAATGAGGACGACAATTGAGGATTAAAATAATAATAAAAAACGATGATCCTTGACCTTTTGAAATTCAAAAATGTTCGCCTGCGGCGCTGGAAAGAGAAGAATTCTTCATTATTGGTCTTCCAAGTGGGGTATGGATCTTTCAAGTCTTTTTTATTTTTCATTTTTATCCTCATTTGTCGTCCTCATATGTCAGATCCTCAATTGTCGTCCTCAAATGTCGCCTTCATTTGTCATATCCTCAAGTGCGTATCCTTAATTGTCGTACCGCCAAATCCGCAAGTCAAAAAACACGGAATTTTAAGCAATTTACATACGCAATCCGCAAATGCGGACAGCCTTTTAATTTAACCAAACTTAAATTTTTTTATCAAAAGATGCTAAAGACTTGTCCGTTGAAGGAAAAGAATTACTTTTAGACGAATCTACTAAATATACAAATATTTTACTTCGATATAATCAACAAAGATTAGGTTTAATTGAAGGGGCTCAGAGATTGGCTGAATGTAGCCAACTAATTATTCGAAATATTGAAAATGAATGTGCACTTAGATCAATGTTTTCTCATCAACTTAAAAATTATTCAATGGGTGCAAATTACTTTAAAGTGTCAAACTTTTTTGAAAATTTTTTGAATAAAACTGATTAAAAATTAATGATTTTTGAAATAAAAATATGTACTTTTTTCTTTTATTTTTTTACAATTTATTTTGTAGGATATTAAGGATAACAGAGACCTAGGTATCAGTGGATTGAAGCGATAAAGTGGAGTTAGAGGGATTTGTTAAGAGGGCCTGTGTTTAGCAGAGAGATCAGCAAAAGCGGAAAAAAGATTTTATGTGAAAATCCATAAATCTCAGATTCAAAAATCCTTAAATCTCGGCGTAACCAGTCAAAAGAAACAAAGGCAAAGCAGTAGAATGCAGTGAAAAATATTTTTACTTTAACTTAAAAAAAATTTTTCCGGCAGCACAGAAAATGGAGCAATCTTGGTTCTTGTCCTTCCAAATGCCCAACATTTCCGGCTTCAGCGCTAGGAAGTGAGAAGTATGGAATCAAGACGGACTTGGAGAGATCTCGGTAAAACTGAGAGTTAATGAGACTATCGTGGGATTTGGGCTATATGGTGATAATTGTGCAATTTGTGAGATCGAAAATGTGATAGAAAGAAATTAAAACTTGCATATTATTTTTAAATTTTTATTCAACAAAAAATAGAGGTTAACAATGAAGAATGACGAGGTAGTATGATTATAATTAGTCATTACTTCATTTTACAGGGTCCTCCTTCTACTTGATTTTCATTTATTCATCTCTTTTTAAATTAATTAGTTACAGTCCTTCTCGCAAATAACAGCAAGGCACGAACTCTCACAGCTTTGATCAGTTGTTTGGCCAGAAGAGCTAACAGCTGTACAGTCTTTTGGGCAATTATCACCTGAAGGAGGATTTCCACCCCCGCAACTTGGCGATTTTGGTTTTTTCTGGCATTCAGATACCTAAAAGAAATCTTGTTTTTTAAAAATTATGATACTGCCATTAGGCAAAATTTTGGATTCCTTTATCAAACTACACTTGCTCCTATAAGAAAAAGGTGCTAGGTAATTGTTTATAGTGAATTTGAGAAAAGAAGTGAGAGCCCATACTAGAGGCCCAGAGTAACGAAATATGTACCTCCAACAAATTCCTATAATCATATGAGCTTCCATCATCCCAATACTTGTTTCCATCTGTTGCAGAGTGCAGACCAATCCAAGCACAACTTGATGATTGGCAAATATTCGTAATGGCACTCTTTTGCTGATCAGAATGATAGGAGGCGACTTTTGCCCCATTATTTGCACACATAGCTAAAGCCTTTAGTAGAATGATATTTTATGCTTCTTCAACATTATTAAATCACCTGCCAGTAATTACCAGGTGAAGGCAATGGGAAGATTTTATAGCCTTTCCCATTGGCAGATTGAGACCATCCATCTGTCCCACAATTCACTTTACCACACCCGCATGGTTGTCCACCACCGCCTCCACCACCATTACATTTACGCTTACAAATGCCTCCACCAAGCTTATGATAGCAAGAAATGTCATTCCAATTAACATTTCCATCCCCATATGTATACATACAAACACAGTCCTCTGGGGAACCCGCTTTAGAAATTTTATGAATTTTAGAAGGATAGATTCCAAACAAACTTACGCGGAGTATTTCCTGTATTATTCAGACCACTAGGACATCTATAGCCCCACGGCGGAATTAGTGTTGTCGGGACTCCAGGTGTTGGAACGGAACCATAATCTACTGTAGAGCCATCTGCCCATGTTTGAACTACTGTTGGATCATAACTAGAAATTTTTATTTAAACTTAATTATATTGGACGACAGGGAGAAATAAAATTAACTAAATCGGAGCTTATTTGGCCAAGGTCTATGATAAAGATAAAGTCAGTAAAGTTCAGAATAATTGATCAAAATATTTAAAATGCTCTTTTATTGAAAGAATTCTTCAAATCTTTCTATAAACTTACTAGGGTTCGATAGCAGCACGGTTTAGACCAATATACAAAGAACGCAACATTTGATCAAGTGATCTAATTGGATCTCTTTGTTTACATACAGAAGGATCTGTTTGACATTTAACAAGAAAAGGTGTAGCCAATTGAACTACAAATTGTTCTTCCTCATCACTGTGAATGCTAACAAGTTCTCCTCCTTCCTTATTGCATAAGATTCTGGCCTAGAATTTTGAAAAGAATATTTTAATTGACACAGATAATTCGACTCAGTCCTTCTATTTAGGATTGAAAAAAATTTATTTGGGGGTAAATAAATGGTTAGAATAGCAGCTGGCTTTGTTAAATTGATATCTTTATCACAATCCCACACTTAATTCCAGAGGTTTGACTGACAGAATTTGTCCGATCTCTAGTACTCACTCGAACTCCCGCATGAACCCACACACTTAAATTTCTTGGCACTCGATTTATACAAAATTTTTAAGCCCAAGCTTTTTGAATAATTAAAATACCTGATAATAATTAACCATATCCTGCATAATTACTTTATATCCATAAACACTCCCATCTTTATCTGTTCTAGTTGACCATCCAGCTGGACATTGATTTGCTCCTCCATTTTCGTTGGGATTTGCATTTGGAAGTAAAGGTTTATCAGAACTATCGTCTGCTTGATCAGCGGGATTTCCCGTTGCATTATTCAAATTTTCAAGCACCATAATGTTATCACCAGTTGTAGTACTGGCAGTGTCAGCATTTAGCTCGGCATTTTGCCCGGGATTTAGCTCGGGATTATTATAACTAACAGTAGTCGTAATTATATCCGCATCATAATCATCATTTAAATTATCCCCATTTTGAGCAATTGCCAAATGGAAAACAAATAAAAGTATGGTAATGAAATGAAACATAGTAGACTTCTAAATATTAATTAAATAAAAATCATTGGGTTTAAATTAAGCGCAGGTATTCTATTTTTCAATGGATTACTTTGAGCGGGCTTATAATAGAGATGAGATTATATTAGAGCCTGGACTTGCAGCCTAGGACTTCTGTTTTTCAGTCAGCCCAAGAGTTTATTTATTAATGAGTTACTTTGAGGGTTTATAATAGAGAGGTGGTCCTATTAGGGCCTGGACTTTAATTAGGGCATATTTTTTATATGAGAGTGAATACTACTAAAATAAAAAAAATTTCATTCGAAACTGACTTTTTGTGTAAATTGCACTTGGCTTTTAAATGGCAAAAATTCAAGTTTTTTTGTGTGTTCTGGTCCCACACTAAAAATTATTTTGAAAAATAAGTTTTTACAAAAGGTTTTTCCATAAATGGATATACTAAAACACAAAATAAAATTATCATTTTTGGGTAATTTGAATATTTAAATTAATATTAGATAATTCTAAAATAATATTTTCAGGTTACAATTTTCACGTGAAATATATAAATTTTATTTTTTGGCCAGAACCTTTCTATTTATAAATGCAACAAAAAGTTTTTGCATAAAATTTTTAAAATTACTAAAAAAAGGAAAAAAAATTTAAACATTAAAAATCAGCATTAATAAATTGTGTTTTAATTTATAATAAAATTATTTTTATTGTGAAAATATCCTGCAAAATTTATTTATAAGAGTTGGGGCAGTTGCTTACTTACTTCAATAGGATGAGGCTCATATCACTCGAAGCCTTCGATAAGTGGTATCACAATTTTGATTTTCAATATTATACTAGGTTATTACCCGATCAATGTGAAAACGATTTTTCAAATATAACAAATTATAGTTTTTGAATGAGCGATCAGACTTGATCCGTCCATTTAAATAAAAGATACTGCTCAGCGAGGTCTCTCGAAGATATAAAAATCATTCGGCTTGGATCAAGCATAAAAAGATCATAGCCAATCAAAGTCGGCTGATTATAATTAACTATTTCTCGGGTCGGTCTTTCAATCCGTTCCGTATTTATGATACATACTAGAGTTGGGCGGGATCGGGATCGAGATTTTGGAATAATGACCCGATCCCGATCCCATCCAGTCCCGATTCCCCGCCCAACTATAAAATGTACTTACACTAATTTTGATTCATAATAATCATCAACCAAACTTTATTTTCTATTTTAATTCTCCCAAAAATATTTTTTTGGCAGTAATATTAACCCTCTCTCAAATTCTATGTAAATATTTATGTAAATAATAAAAATTATTTTTAAAATGAATAAAAAGGACACCGCAAAAAATTAAAACACAAAAACTATTTTAGGTCCCTTTATGAAATATCTGCACTTTTTATTATTGTTTTTTATTTTATGGCCAGATTTTATGTATGTGTTTCAATAGCCAGAAAAACTTTTGAGAATCATAACACATTTAATTTAACTTTAATTCTTTTTTTTAGATACAAAGGTATGTATATCTCCTTATACTTATCTTAATTTTATTTAGTAATTTTATTAAGTACAAGCCAGTTTGTACTTTAAGATTAATTATTGAGAAAATCAGCGAGAATATTGAGAAAATCAAAAAATCCTTTGGGACTATCCTCAATCCAAAAATCCAATTATCCTCAGTTTTTTCTCTCGTTTATGGAATGAGGGGTATTGAAGAATATTGAAGAATACAAGCCGGGACTTCTATTATTATATTTACGGTATCTTTATTCTCTTTCGTCTTTGCTGTGAACTAGTGGTTGATTCGTTAAGGATGTTGGATATTTGAAAAAAAATCGCCTGCTACACTATAAATCAACATTTTTGCTATACATGGCATCAAAAAATCCGAAATTAAAAAAAAATTTTTGCTTTATCTTAAACACAATTAACGAAAAATAAGCAGGTACAAACTTCGTGTACGACGTCAAAAAGCCGTGGTGGTACGAAATACGAGTAGGGACAAATTTGAAAATTTTTTAAGCAGTGCTTTTGGCCTACCTTCGAAGAAACTAACGGACATGGAAAAATGAAATAAAATTAAAAACGAATTTTATAACGGAGATGCTACATCAAAAATAAATAAATTTAATAATTTTTTTAATCACAAATTACTTCAACATCCATCTAATTACTTCCTCTTTATTTAAATATTTTACTTCAATTCCAAGTTGGAGCATAATTTCTTCCCTTTCTTCCTTTGACATTTTATATAGATAGGAATAAACTCCTTTTTTACGGGGTAAATATGATGAAATGATTTTTTCTTTAAATTCTGCCAAAATTTGTTGGCCCTTATATTTACTAAATATATTTTCTTTTTCTTGAAGGACCTAAAATGTAATAATTAGTGATCGTAAAGTACCTTAGTACTGATAAATACCAATCAACTTCAAAATTTTATCGATCACTAATTCACTAGTTTTTGGCATTTATGTTAATATCTATCCTATTTATTTCAATATTTGATGGCCATATTTTCCAATTTTATCTCAATATAAATCCGATCCATAATAATATCTTTAAGTCAAATCGTATGATTATTAAACCCTATTATCGGTTATTAACTTATTAGGACGAATTTGGGGATTTTGCACAGGGGAACGAATTTTTTGTTCAATGGGACGAATTTTGGGTGGGACAAATTATGGGATCACAGAAGAGTAGCAATTAGAGATAGGACAAACTGCAGAATCGAATATCAAATCAAACTATTCGATATTTGAACGTATTGAAAAAATTTGATTTTTTTCAAAACTCATCAAATAAAATTTGATCAAATATTTAATTTTCCAACGTCGAATACTTATTTGGTTCGATCTCAAAAAAGTGCTTGATTTATCTTTTTTTCTCTAATATTCTCTCGTTTTTCCATACTCTTTTTATTATCCGCTTAACTATACATAATTTCAATTCCGCTAGGGCCTTGCTAGTCTGCAGTGTTACTCATTATTTACCTCATTTTGCCCAGTTATGTCCCCATTATTTTCAAAATCAATTCCAACAAGCCAAATAATGCATAACCATCCCTTTTTTCTAAATTCTTCTGGACATTTATTCTTATTCTGTTTTTGTAAATTTGCATGGCAAACAGCATTAATTTTTGTCTCAATTGAAAATAATAATTGGAGACGGATACGTGTAGTAGAAAAATCACAAAATTCATTTCCATATTTACTTGTAGATGAATAAGTACAGACAATAGCGAGAAATTGATCATACTTAAAATGTTATTGTGTGTTATTTAGAGATCGGAATTTTGAAAAAAAACCGGGTCCGGGGTTGGGAAACGGGTTCTGAAGGTTGACCAGGAGGGACCCGGACCGGGAATTCCCGTCCCCGGTTTCACCCCGGTTGCTTCAAAAAACCGGGAAAAGGAACTTGAAAACCGGGAAAAGGGTCCGGGTACCGGACTCGTTCCGATCTCTTGTGTTATTGTTATGTATGATAACCAGGGCTAGGATTTTTAGGTTATCACCTATCTTTTTGTGTAATAGTTATGATGGATTGAGGTCAAATTCGTTGTTATTTTTTGAAAATCTTTGTTTTCGCCTACTTTTTTCATCTATTCAAACTTATTTTGGCATTCTGTTACCTACTATTTAGGTGCCTATTTTTAAATTTTTACGGCCTAAAAATCCGAGCACCAGTGATAACTAAAAATTAAACAAACTTTATTCCTAAATTCTAAGCCACTAATTAGCAAATCTTCCCACTGGTTTTTTAAATCTGTATGGGTTCCAACAGTATTTTTATAAATTTTTGTTTTCGCCTTCAAAGCATTTTTTATATTTGTTTTGATTAAAGTTGACGCTAATTTAAATTAAAATTTGTATAATAATGAAATTAAAGTATTGGTTAGTGTAGTGAATTCCATGGGGTTAAAATCAAAATTAAATCGTAATTTTAATTTTTTCAAGAATTTTTTTAGTTCTAAAGGCCAGATTTTTATTCATTTCTTGGCGCCTCAGAGAAAATTTTATTGGAAGGCCAAAAATAAATTTCTCGGTAAAAATAATGAGTGCCACTAGGATTGTAGATTGGCGGAAGATGGAAGCTATATGATGTAAGCTATATCCCATCCGTGAAGTAAATTAAGGATGTCTTACCCCCGATGTCCGTAAATTTTTGGTTCGGATACAGGTTCCGGTCCGGATATCCGAAGACCTCTCAGGAACCGCCAACGTTGATTTAAATACTAGGGTTGTTCCCCGACGGGGGAGAGGCGCCTCGGGGAGGAGCAGCGCCACGGGGAGGGGGGTGGGCGGGGAGTTCAAAAAATCTCTCAAAGTCCCCGAACAACCTTAATGCAAATACCTTTCTCCATTTCTCTCCACATTATTTTCCTTGTGGACATATTAATATTAAACCCAGCATTTTGTTTGGGCATTCCAGGTGTTATTATTGGCCAAACTAATTTTGTATGTTTTTCCATTTTTTCATTCTGTTCCAAAATTTCCTCTAATAATGTTTGCTTTTCTAAAATTTCTTTCTCCAAAATTTCTTTCTCCAAAATTTCTTTTTCCGAAACTTCATTAGAGGAAATAGGAGCCTCCTCTAAAGATTTTTGTTTTTCCATTATTTGATCTCTTAACACTTTTTCTGTACTATTATTCATATAAAATTTATTTCGAGATTCTCTCTCATAAGCCTCATTCCAGTCTATTTGTTGTCGTAATTCTTCAAAATTTTTGTTAGTTTCATCAAGAATAATAGGTTTAAGTTCTACTTCTGAATCAATTTTTTGCTTATTTGTTGGAGTATTATTATCATATCTGAACGAGAAAATAATTTTTAAAAATAAATTTTGTATTAAATTGGTAATTTATTTAATGAGAGCTGGAGGTGTAAGGTGAGGTGTAAGGGGGAAATCAGGTGCCGAAACACGAGAAGCTATAAATTTCGGAAATTGACGGAAATATGGAAAACTGTATTTATCAAATACACACATATACCTATATGATCTTTCAATTAATTTTTGTACTCGGATGGCAATTCAACCCAACAACCCAGCATTATTTGGCTACCACTCGAACATAAATCTAGGTTCACAAAAATGATATCTTCAAGATACCGTATTTCTTCTAATAGTGCGACCGGTCGTTTATTTTCAACCTTCCTCTGGGGGGTCGGTTTATTAGAAGGGATCGGTCTAATATAGGGAGTCGCACTATTAGAAGAAATACAGTATCTATCTCGATTCTTGTAAGAATATCTGATCTTTCAATTTAGTATTGGTAATATTAATTAAATAAACATACAGTTTATACGTTGAAACATCAAAAAACTTTGCCAATATTTGATTAATTGTTAATTTTGAAGAATTAGAATCAAAAAATATTTTTGTTACTAGAATGGCTAATGAGGTGCCACTAAAGAAGCCAAGCTTACCATTATAAATAAAATGATCTGAAATTATAATTTATATGTAGATAAAGGAATAAAAGAGAAAAGAAAAGAATTCTGACGGGACGGTAACTTGACATAATATTCTAAACTTCATATTTCGAGTGATTTTTCTATTTAGAATGCCATTATTTGATTATAATAGGGTTAGCATAGGTTTTGTGGTATGGGACGTTTTTATGAATGGTGCTGCTTCTATATATCATTCGAAAGTATAGATCGGTCTGGATCTGGACCAAGTCCGGATTTTTCCTGGAGCCAGAGTCCTGTCCAGGTTACTAACCTAAATCCAGATCCAGGATTTTTGAAAATACCTATGTCTATTCAAAAGCTTGATTCTTATCTCCTTCGACAAGTTTCAACGTTTTTCAGATAAATTCAAAATCTCTGAGATATACGCGGATAAAGAGGATATGGCCGGGTATATATGTATATGGCCGGGTATACTAGACAAATAAATTTTTTATGAAAGAGCATCCACATTGGTAGAACTTATATTACCATTTATAAAGGATTTTATGTTTTATTCCATATAAAATTAAATAAAGCTAGAATAAACTTGCTTTTTGCCCACAGTTTTAATGCTAATAGTACAAGTTGAAATTTATCTTTTTCTTTTGAAATAATTTCATTAATTCGAATATTAGCACGATAACCTTAATTAAAAAAATATTTTTAATTAGATTTCAAATTTATTTCTAGAAAATAATTTTTTATTAGTCTTTCAACGGGTTCCACCCTTTGGAAAGAATTATGGACCGAACCAAAACTGGACAAAATTTCGGATTGCGTTTCGGATTGCGTTTTTCGGTTGTGAAATTTTTTTGCCAATTACGTCCAGCCTGGATCTGACTGGAAGGGGCTTACGGAATCAAGATAGAGTAAAGCAGCTGGGCTATAGCTATTTCTCTCCTTTAGCTAGTGCAAAAGGTTATTCGGCGGCTAGGAGCGAACCAGCATCTTCAGTAGACGGGCTGATGTGTTAGCCATTACTGCTCAGCCTTAGGAAATTAAATAGCTATATGCTTTACAATAGTTATTTTGAAATTATCTTTCCTTTGATAACCGAGATTTTTGTTCGAGTTATCAGGGGTGAACGCAAGAGGCAATTCTGAAAAACCCAATGCAAGGCCAAAAATCAACGCAAAACGTAAAGCACTCATCCCAGAAAATGTTAGTGATATTTTTGATGATTAAATATAAAAATTTAGAAAAATATTATTTATAAACCCGATAAAGAATTTATCATTCCAACACGGTCATATTGCAAATACGTCCCAAATTGTTTAGTAAAATTTAAAATAAAATTGTCTATTTCATTTAAATTTTTTAAACTTGTTTCACTTTCTATAAAGCTTAAGACTTGTTGAGAATCTCTTCTCCAAGGATATGCAACAAATGCCAAATCAAAAGAATAGTTATGAATTTTTGCATTTATTTCATTAACGCCTGTTGTAATTTTTCTAAGCCATGTTGTTGCTTTGTTCTATTAATAGAAGGCTAATTTAATGTTATTTCAATAATTTTTATTGTGAATTTGGGTACTAGATCCTGGCCTGTAGTCCAGGAAAAATACAGGCCAAGGAAAACCCCAGGAAGGTCAAAAAATGCCTGGGCCATGACTCGGGACAGGAAAAACCCAGGCCTTGCTCCAGACCCAGCTCGATCTCTATTGAGTACACATCAACTGCTCAGGTCCGCTATCACGTAAGAAACTTATTTTTTTTAATTTTTCGAAAGGATGTTTTATTAGTAGGGCGTGTCAAAATATGCACGGAAAATCCCAAAATATGCGCATATATATGCACCGAAAAAGCCCAAAATATGCACCAAGATATGCAAAATATGCTCTAAATATACAGCAAAAATAACGAAAATATGCTTTAAAAAATTAATATTTGAGGTAAAAATTACTAATTTAGCATTTAAAATGCAGTTTAAGAGCACTTCTAAAAGATTTTATGAACTTAAAATTCAATTAAAAAAATTTTTTCGAAAAAAAATTTTCGCGAAAAATTTTTCGAAAAATATTTTCAACAAATTTTTATTTAAGATTTTTTTGCCCAAAAAATTCCAAAATTTTGAAAATTTTGCCTGATTTTTACTAAAATGTTTCAAAAAATGCCAAAATATGCACAAATTTTGGTAAAAATATGCAAAATTTACCAAAATATGCACAGATATGCAAATATGCACGAAAGTACCGAAATATGCAAAAATATGCATTAAGAACCGGGTTCAAAAGTGCTCTAACCGATGTAAAAACACCATTTTTGAGCGTTTCAGCTCATGGCATATCCGCATGCAAAATATGCATTTGCATGTTTTGACACGCCCTATTTATTAGGTATAATATACCTCGCATAATAAGCAGTAAAGCGATTCTTTCTCACTACATTCCTCCCTTTTTTCAAAATTACATTCAGATCTAATACCCATAAATTCATCATCAACCATTCTTTTTGTTACAAATTTGTCAGTAGGATTATTATAATTAAATGGCAATACAATGATAAAATCAACATCAGATTCTACAGAATTTATATTTAGTAGGTAAGAACCAGAAATTAATGTTATAGCATTTTTGTTCTGAAAAAATAAATTTTTTTGAATAGATTTAGGTAATCATTAGTTTGGATTATCCATTCCTTTTTTCTGAAAAAAATAATCGGGAATGATCTGGACATTAAGAAAGATTAGGAGCATTTTGAAGGGACATCTGGAGCAGGGGTGGGCGCATTGCAGGGGTTGCCTCCAAATTCCCTGATATCACCGTTATCAATTCATAACTACTGATAGCCCTTTATCCTTAGCTATCTCCCCAACTGATCTCTTGCGTCCAGCCCTGATCGTGAGATCTGGGAGACTTAAGAAGAATTTTAAATCCATCCTTGTTAGAAAAATAGAATCACTGTTGATAAATGCGATAAGTTAATACTGAAATCATGGAAATTATTTATTGCCCAAATCACTCATAATTATTTTTTATTTTCACTCTAATTGGCTACCGCCTAAATCACTCATTGCCCATATTACTCAACTACCCATATCACAAATCACTCACTACCCATATTACTCAACTACCCATATCACAAATCACTCACTGTCCATATTACTCAATATTACTCACTGCCTAAATCACATACTGGCGAAATCACCAGACACGCTTTATAAATCCACTTTATAAAATAATTTATATAAAAATTATTAATAATATTTTGATTACCCAGAGTTCAACAGTTTTTATTACGTCAGCAATTGCTTTTTTTAGACTAATGGTTTTATCAACCATATTAGACTTTCCAGGGTTCTTCCAAAAACCTTTTCCTTGCAATATATCAATGAGCTATAAAAATAAATGATAAAATTTAAATATTCGGACAATAATAGGCTAGTTAGTCCTGGGTTAGCCGAATCGAATTCGTTTTTATTTCTTGGAAAATGCCATGTATTTTTTTATTTCCTGGACATTCCAGACCGACAAACGCAGAATAACACTTTATCCAAAGTTTGTTGAGCAGCGATTCGGAACTAATTAATATACCGAATCGGTACTTTTCGGTCGAAGCCAGTACGGTGTATTTTGGTACTCGTTCGGTAGCGTTACTTTCGGACTTCAAGTACCGGTACATCGATAAATACATCTATCGTATCCAAAGTAGAAATTAGGTAAATTATGAGTGAAGATCGAATTGGATCAATGACTATTTAATGTAGCCATCTGAACTGGATCAGGACAAATTGGATAAAGGAATACTTCATTGTTTTCTTCAAACAATGTCAATTCATTTGTTTGCTTTAATTCAACATCACTTTTAACTATGTTATCAATAGCTTCTTTTTTATCCATTTTTCCATGTTTTGCTTTAACATTTTTATTAAAATTTGTTTTATCTTTTCCTTTAGAAAATTTAGAAATTTTCACCTGTGCATTTTTCATTATGGGCCTTAAAAAATTTTTGTGAATATTTTTAAAATTCAATTTATCTAAAACAAACTTCTCAGCTGTTTTTTGCTCCCCTATTTTTGGTCCCTCCAATTCTCTTTTTTCAGCTTCGGTTACGGTAATTTCACCAGAACCCATACTTGTATTTTCCTCAATTATTTTTGGACGAACCTCCGCCTCAATATCCTTCATTTTATCATCCAAACATTCATCCACAGATTCTTTCTCCAATTTTTTAAATTCCAAAATTTTCTTTCTCTCCCTATCTCGTTTTTTCTTGGACATTTTGGCTTTTGTTGTAGTTGAGGGTGTTTCCGAGTTAGGTTCTAAATGTTTATTTCAAATTTATATATTTATTTCCGAATATAAAGATTAAAATATATAGTATGTACTTTAATTATAACTTCGGATTGCTAGGATAATTTTGAAAAAGTTTCAAAGAGATTATTCGATAAATTCTAATTGAAGAAGGCTATGTGTGTAAAATAGAGTTGCACATGAATGTACGAGGGGGAGGGGTACTTGATGTACCGCGAGCCCTATGTACCGCCGAACTATAACTTTGCACAAGATTGTCGAATCCTTAGCGCTCTGGTATTGTTCAATGCGGCTCGATCATTTGTATCGAACCATACCAGAGCGCCACGGATTTGATAATGTTGAACAAAGTTAATGTTGAACAAAAAGTGTTGAACAAAAAGTACACTGGGCTCGCGGTACACTGGCCTGCTCCCCTCGAACGCGGGTGCTTCAGAACACATCAATTCAATTTAAAATACTCTTCTGTATATCCCCGCATTTTCCTTTTCTTCTCCTTTTTCCGAATTTGGTAGGGGCTATTTAACTTCAATTTAAAACTCCCAATTTTAATTTGTTGGAAAAATTTAAATTTTAAATTAATTAAACGAACCTAATTTCATTTCATTTAATTGACTACTTATCCCTTCTATCAAACCTTCCTCATCAACATCCATCATTTCAGTATCTAAACTTTCATTCACAAATTTCTCCTCCAAATTTTTAGATTCTAAAATTTTCTTTTTCTCCCTATCTCGTTTTTTCTTGGACATTTTGGCTTTAGTTGTAGTTGAGGGTGTTTCTGAGTTAGATTCTAAATTACTTATAAAAAGATTTTCTTTATTTTTAATAAAAGATATCTTGAGGGCTAACGATGATTTTTAGAAATTAAAGTTTATTCTAAAAGTTGATTAAAAATAAACGTTTTTAATCAGCAAATTATTTTTATTCTTAAGCATATCTTATCAGGGAACATGCCGAACTAAAAAATAATTTCACGTTTTGGGAAACAGATTACAGTACCTCTTATTTGTTTTATCGTTTGGCTCAGATAATTTGAATATTTTTTTGAAAATTTATGAAAAAAATTCAAAGAACATTCAATTCTCGTAAGAAGACTGACAATCAGGATCAAGGCTGCGTTGCGCCAAAATTTTCGCGTGGAACGCAAAATGCCAATTTTTCAAATTTTTAAAACACGCCAAATGCAAAAAGCTAAAAATCGGCCAAAAATGGACACCAAACGCCATGACGCTCATTCCTGATCACACTCGAATAAAATTTCTAACCTTTATTTTGTTCTAGTTCCATCATTTCTGTATCTTCAAGGATTTCCGATTTTTTGTAATTTTTTATTTTAAAAGGATTTTCTTTATTTTTAATTTCATTTCCCATGTTTTTTGATGATCCACTTCCTTCTTCCAAACTTAATTTACTTAACCTATCAACTAAATTGTTTATTATATTATTTTTATCTGTTATTAAAATTAATTAACATAAAATTAATTAATACATTTAACAACCTTCTGCATCAATTTGTTCCATTCTATCCATATTTTTGATCAAATCTTGGCTATTTTTTTCATTATTTTTTCCCCTTTCCTCAGAATATTGATACCCTATTTCTTCCAAATTTTTAAATTCTGATTCATCAAATTTTATTTTGAGTAGCTCAAAACATTTACGAGTATTCTCGGAACCGATCAAATTATAAAGACGTTGTCGAGATGAAAGAGATGAAGAGAGACCTTGGTTAAGATATAAAAGATACAATTTTAAATTTAGCCTCGAGTTGACAGGATGATTTTTCGAATACTCTAATCTATCTACTATTTTTAGATATCGGTTTTTATCTTCAAGGTCAGAGTCCAAAATTCATAGTTTAAGCCTGTCTATGGAATCTTATACCATAGGCAACCCTATCTATTGTTCGATGGGTTTGCCTCTGTCTTCATTTACTTTATTAATTGCGAATGATTCATCTAGCATCATTTAAGATGCCTAGACAGACCTCTATAAAGTGGGAAAGGAAATCTGATAGGTTTGGGATCTAACTTGAAACCTTTGGGATATCTCGCCAGACATCGACCTCTCGGTATGGCTAATGGTTCTTGACCATCAGCTTTTGCTAAACTCTTATTAAATTCTTATTAAATAAAATTTTCTAATCATACCTTTACTTATTTTCTCCTTGAAAATCTTTCGATTTTTACGTTCAGTCTGAATACCAATTTTACTTGTTACACCAAGTTCCTCATAAAATTCATTTGCAATAATTACTTGACGCCATTTTAAAAATTCATTTCTTTGATTATCAGAAATTAAAATATTTTTATCCTTTTCCATCATATAATCCAAAATTGTTTGTAATTTTAAATCTTTTATATTTTCGTGCACAATTAATTTTTTATATAATTTGAACTGTTGAATATTTAATTTTGTTTGTTGTTCTATTAATTGCTCCATTGTCATATTGAAAAGTTTATCATAATCGGATTTGTACTTTAGGACTTCATTAAGCCGAAAATCTTTAAGCAGTCGGTCATTCACACACCTTTTTTGAGGATCAACTTCTTCCAATTGTGAAATTATCTGATAGTAAAATTAGCTTTACTCTCATATCAACGTGTTAAAAAGAAATCTTAATTAATCACCATTTGGTGCTTAGAAATTTTTATTTTGGGAAGGCATGTTAATTTGTTCAGTTTTGTGACGAAATTTTATTTTCGTACTAGGATAGGTTCAAAAGACCCAAAGCTTTACAAAAACACGTAACTATAGTTTATAAATTTTTCTGGCGAAAATTTTGACACCCAAAAAATTATATGCTCAAAATTTATAAGTTAAAAATGGCGATCTGACAATTTCCGGAGCTACAATTGCAGATATGACAATAAAGAATGAAAATTCCGGACGACAATTGTGATATAAAATTTAAAAAATAAAGATTTTTAAATACTCAGTGAGTGACATTAATCCTGAAATCATCATGAAACCGTCATGATTCGAATCACCATTCACGATCATGATTTAGGTCATCAACAAACAGGCTCCTATTTTAATACTTCTTTAAATTTTTTAGAAATTTTATAGCCACAATTGTCGCCCACAACTATCATATCCGCAATTGCGTTCCTAAATTGTCAAAACACCGTTAAAAATACGTTTTCGGTATTAGATTCACAGGGTTTGGCGATTTAAAAATTTAATAATTTACTAACATCAATATCAATCCATCGAATAAAAGATATTATCTCAATTGCAATTTTGTTTAAAATTGTTTCTAAATTGTCCGCTTTAAGTAAGGCTCCAATAAAATGATTACGTAAGCGTTCTCGTTGTTTGGAGGAAGATACTTTAAAAATTATTTTAGTAATTTTATTTCAATAGTAATTGGCAAAAAATGATAAGGAATGAAATAAACACTATAGGGGTGTCCATAGCGGGTTAATTTATTAGGTCTAAGTTTAGGATGGTACGTCATATCGGATATGTGATCCAACGCGAATATCTCTCTCTCTTCTAACACTACCCCTTTACAAGATGAAACACAAGTACAAATTTGGTACGATCATTCAAGTACTGAATTTCATAAGCTAATATTTTGCTACATTTCTCCCACTGCTCCCAATTGGGTTGTGTCGGTTCTGGACCGAACCTAACCTAGGAACTGATGATTTTTCGTTCCGGATATCCGAAGATTTTCCAGGAACCAACAACCCCATTCCCAAAGATTTTAAAGTTAAATATTTCCTTGGAAGCATTTAATTGATACATACTTCATCCATCTTGATTCTATTTAAGAATTTTATGCCTAGATATTCGTTAATCTTACTCTATTTATTGCCCAATAAAGTTATAGCATTTTAAAGTTAAGTATTTAAAAATTCAAAAAATAAACTGACTATCAACTTCAAAACATTCAAGAACAGTCACATTAGGACAAAGAAAGTCAAGTTTAGAAAGCATTCCAGGGCTGGTACATTTTTGCAATATTTTTGAAGAGAGATCTTTTAAAAGCTCAAAATGCTGATATGCGACAAGTTCTTTTGCTTCCATTAATGTGTCTTCATGAATGATTTCTCTTCTACAATAAGAACCAGTCCAAATATTAATCAGCAAGGCCGCATGGTTAGGGTTGTTAACGCCTACCTATAATATGTATATTAATATAATACCTATACTATCAAGTACAATATTTAATACATGCGATGCAGATATGAATGCATAACCCTTTTTTTTCATAGAATGATTTCGAGAAGGATACTTTTCATTAAGTCAGTCTAATGCATACTTGGATGTGCCGAAACAGATTTTAATAAGCGAAACATGAAGGATGAAAGGCGAAAGTCCAAAAAGATGAAGCGAAACGGAAAACCCCATATGCCTACTAAAAATCGTCCTGGATCTGGACCAAGGCCTGGGCTTTTTCTGTACCCAGAGTCCAGGTCCAGGCATTTTTCGACCTCCTGGGGTTTTCCTGGGCCTGGGTTTTTCTTCAACTACAGGCCCTGGATCCGGCCTTGGTCAGTAAATCAAACCCAGAGCCCAGGAACAGGCCCAGGCTTTTCAAAAATACCGATCTCTAATGCCTATCCGTAGATTAACCATAACTAAGTATCGTTATGTACTTGATACATATATTTACTTTATTTAAAAATAAATACTTACTTCCATGCATTTATCTAGTATTTTAATAAATTCCACCATAAAACACATTCTCTCATCCGAATAACCTTTAAATCTGTGATATGCTTCATCTATTGCCCAATCCAAACGTTTTTTAAATATATTGTATAAATTATCATTTTCTCCAAATGTATGATAAATTAAAAAATATTTATCTGCAATTTTAACTATTAAAAATCTCATATTTAATGATTTAATAGCTTCAATAGAGATGGGAGAATCTATTGGATTTTGGACATATTGTTCATAATACGAAAGAGCAACATCCATTTCCAAAAAATCTAAAAGAGTGATATTAATTAGCAGATAAGAATGTTATCGAAAGCAGCTAAAACACAGTACAGAAACAATAGGTATTACCAGTGATGCGAAAATTCCAAAATTTGGCCGGTTCAGGTAATGGAACCGTTTTTTAATTTTTGTTCCGGAACCGTTTTTAATTTTGCCGGTACCGGGAACCGGTTCCAAACCGGTTCCGGTTCCAATCCAGTTCCGGACCTTTGCCGGTTCCACGGTTCCACTTCCGGAACCGGAACTCCCACATAACTGATTATTGCTGACATCAAATTGTCTTTACAGTGTTTAAGCTTAAGGAGCCAAGTTTGGGGATTCTGGGGATTAAGGGATATCTGGAGTTGAATATTAAGAGGCTAACTATCGGAGGTTTTGAGGGTTAATACTCTGATATATATTTAAATCCCCTTCATCCTTCTAAGGTAGGTGTATATAATAGTACATATAATCCGATCTCCGAATCGTAATTAATCAATAGAATTCTAGCAATATCCTTCTAAATCCCATTCATTTTTCAACTCTACTTAATCCCTATACCTATATCTGGGTTAAATTTTTTAATTGCTCAAAAAGGATGTAAAGAAATCTTAAATCATTACGTCTCCAATAAAAAGTCTTTACGTCTCTACAACTCACTTATTCTTAAAACTTCAGGAAAGCTCATCTCTAATTTCTTCAACAGTTCAATGCCAATTAATTTAGCAAGTCGTTTTTTAAATGAAATTTGAAGGTCAAAATGTTCCTCCCTAGTTCTTCCAATATTGCAAAAGAAAAGACGCATATCAGGATATTTTCCAATTACAAATTCAAGATAATTATAAATAATTTTTTGAAGTTGATTTTCATCTTTGGGCCAATTATACATTGCAATTATATTTGATGTTGTCATATCAAAATTAATTTTGTATTGCTTATTGTTTCCTGATGTTGGACCGATGCTGTAGTAGATCTGTGGATAATTTTTAATTTCATAAGTTCATGAAGATCGGAGTGGATTTAAATTAGGATGATTGTGGGAGGAGGTGATCTTTGAGAAAATATTTCAATGAAAGTAGCCAACTCATGAGGCTGGTTAAGTAAACGGCGTTGTCATAGTACGGAACAGGAATGAGACGGGTTGAGAAAATTATCGGGTCGGGGGTGGAGTCGGATTTTCAAAATTTTCTTCGGTTCGGATTTTCGGGTCGAAAAAAAGTCCGGTCTTCGGTTTCGGGCAGGGTAAGTTAAAAATTTGCCTAAAACCCCTAATCCAATCCCATAGCAAATCAGTACATTCCAAATCATTTACTACCCCAACCATCACTCCAAATTCACCTCAAGCCCTGTAAACCTCCTAAATCCGTTATTCCTCAAAACCAGCGGTACCCCTATTGATCTTTGTATAACGCCCAAATCCCTCAACATACCCTTTAAGCTTTAAACAAAGCTCTTTATTTTTTGAAAGGTTGGAAAAAATTATGTGTCATTTGTAAGGACAATAAGCTAGATTTATTCTTTTATGAAAAAATCTGCATAGAAAATATCGTGTTTAGGAGACTTTTCGAAGATTTTTGCGGTTGGGTTTCTGGTCACAAAATCCAGGATTCGGGCAACGCGTCCTATCCCTGGTAAGGAGGGTAGAACATTTTTAAAGGAAGGTAGAGGAAGGTAGACATTTTTAAAATCAAACTTTAAGTTCAAATTTCTTCAAATAATCTTGCCATTCTTCATCTTCTTTATAATTCAGAGTATTTTTTATATCACCATTTAAGAGAAAATAAAGTCGGGAAAGTTTTTCTTTTGGATTCTTTATTTTTAATATTTCCACTAAATCTTTTATAATTTTTGTTCTCAATTCTGAATGTTCAAATGGTTTTATAATTTCTTTTATTTTGAGCTCATAATGCAAAGCGAGCGAGCTTGCTTTAATTAATTTGAGATGCTCATCTTTCGGTTCACTTAAATATTCCCTAAGAAGTTGAGTCTCTTCTTTATCTAGATTTAAGAAATTTATTAATTCATTGAAAATCTATGATCGAAGCTCAATTGTACTACATCCATCTTGGATAAAAACTCGCGCGTTGAAATGTTACTCGGGCTATGAATGTGGCTTTTCTTATTTTTTGTGTATTAAATTTAAAAAGCCAACGATTACAACAAAAATTTTAAATCTAAGAATTTGCGTAAGTGAAGTGCGAAATTTTTTTCTTAAATTTGCTGTTTAATAATTATAAGACACCTCCCACCATCTAAAATTCTTAGTTATTATTCGAAAAATCAACAAATAATTGTCAAACATATTTCTCGATATAGTTAAGAAATACAGAAAATGAAGTTCTAATGTGAATAGTTCATCGAGATATCAAAACCTGAAAATATCAAACCCCGAGAATGTCTTTAAAGGAGCATAAGCAGCCCTACCCGGTACAATGTACCACAGGCTAAGCTACCCAAATAAAATATCCGGTATTAATAGGTGAATGCAAGTGGGATGGCGTACACCTGAGATTCGACTATACGTATTTAATTACATGTAATATTCTTGTCGTCTTTTGGGCAGCGAATATTATCATTTTCCTTAAATATTATGTAAATTTATTTATTTAATTAGTTATCTAATTTATACTAAATTCTCATGAAATTTTGGATGAAGCATATCATACATTAATTTGCCAATATCTCGTTGTTTATCAATTTCTTAAATTATTATGAGTTTTATTTTAGAGTACATTGAAATTTATTATCATTTATTGGAGGTCTAGGAACCTCCAAAAATTGAAAACTTAAACAGAATTATGGACAACTAACACAAAAACCAGAATCGTTTATCCTTTTAGTATGGGGAACGCGAAGAAAAATCTTTATAAGATCTCCGATGTCAGCTGATATTATTTCTGTATTTCAATTTTATTTCGAACTATCTATTTCGATCCCTTGCAGGACATTGTGCCATGACAAAAAAATTGGTTTTTGCGTGCCATGAAACCAAAGAATTGGTTTAATGGCACGCAGCCCTTATCCCCTGAGCTCATTTTACGAGTGAAAAGCATCACAACTCAAGTGAGTTCAAAAACACTTTGATGGCTTTTTAGCGGATAAATCAGTAATTTTTCAAACGAGAAATTAGTTTCTCGGCCGAAAAGTGACAGAATATAATGGATAATGATTAAATAATCAAATTATCTTTTTCAAAATTTATAACTTACCTTCAAATTTATTAAAAAATTCAGGATTCTTAACAATAAGAGTAGCGAATATGTATTGATGTGATTTCCGTATCATGTCCATTTGCTCATTTATATCTGTCAATTCTTCACTCTAAATTTATTAAATATGATTTTTATTATATTATTGCTCATCCATTGATAATTTAATTACGTGGTATCACATAAGTTAATCCCTCTGCCTAGCCGGATTCTTACAAAACAATTAACAAAATTTTTTTTAAAAACTATAATTTGAGAAAAACGCCGAAACATGTCAAGCTAGATTTTGATCAAGCTTTCGATTGATATATAGATAATAATAGTGCTATTTACTTTTTGGTTTAAAAATCAAAATGACCGCGAACTTCTGACTCACCCTAGTAATAGTGTGTCTCTTTATTAGACTGAACACTTCTAATAAACCGACCCTTTAGAGGAAGGTTGAAAAATAAACCGACCGGTCGCCCTGGTAGAAGAAATACGGTATACTAAATAGGAAAAAATTCGTTAAATATCTGGTCAGTGATGGGCCGGGTTGAGAAAAAAGTCGGGTCGGCTGAGCATAACAGGATTAAAGCTAAGTAAAGGATTTCATAAACTATCAATGATCACAACCTTTTCGAACATTTCACTATCAATCATTCCCTTTAAATTTTCGTCTATATTATTATTTGAATATAAATTTCTTAAATAATATAGATAATTCAACTCTCCATTGCTTATATAAACACAATATTCCAAATCCTTATCATTAAAGGAATCTACTCTTCCAAAAATAGTTTTTTTGCATAAATTCCAATTCTGGGCATATTTTTGATTTTTTAATTCTTTTTTGTACTTTTTATTCAAATTTTCTTGAATTTTGTTTTCTTTATATATTTGTGCAAGTATAGAGGCACTATAAAATATTTTTAAGTTGGCCCCTTCGTTTAAATTTGTTAGCCCTTGAATATAATAATCAGCTAATCTTTCCAATATTTCTGTTTGATTTAGATCTTAAAAATATTTATATTAAAGTGGCTAAGTTTGTAAAGAATTTTTTAGAAGATTTCTGACTTGCTTTTGGTTAAGCTAAGAATTTGCTGAAATCAGCAACCTTAATTCAGAAACATTAGGGGAAAAAGAAACAATTATTTTTTAGATTCTAGCCGCCCCCCCCCCTCGTCACCTCCTAGACCCGATTTTTCGAAATAAACCAAACCTAAGAGGAAATTAAAAAACTCGTCCCTATATAGTCTCCGACTGTCCGAACATCCAAGGCTGACAAATGTGTTCTTTTTTGCGCCAACCGCAAAATCCCAATTTTTCATATTCTTAAAATACCCCAACCGTCAGAATGCCAAAATATACCAAAAAACGCCAAAACTTTTTGGCACTCATTACTTCTTTTCTAATTTCATAAGTATTTCTAATTTCTTCAAAATAAACTAGTAAATAACGTACCACAATCTACTAAAGTGATTAATTCGGAATATTCATTTGAATATTTAGGGGGATCTCTTAATGGATATTTTTTATTTATTTCTCCAACTTCTATTCCAAATAAGAGTTGGCGTAGACGTGTTTTTGCTCCAATAGTTTTTTGTAAAAATTTTAAAAATTCTTCATAAATATGTCTATTCTGATTTTTGATTTTGATTAGTAAGCTAATAAATTATAAGGATAAATTCTTTAATTATCATGATTTTATATACTGTATATGCTCTAATGCTTACCCGGGCAATTATTGTTACAATTTCCAACTGGATGGGGTAATTAATTAGAAAGAGGCAAGTATTTGAAATAGTGTACTTATCCGATGATTTTCACGAGTAATTTTATTCTATTAAGTTTGTCGGTTCAAACCATGGACGGGTCGGTTTGAGAAAGAAGTCGGATCGGGGTTCGGGTTCAGAAAAAAATCCGTGTTTCAGGTATTAAGCAACCCGACCCATTCCCATTTCGGACCCCGCTGAAGATTTGTTCCAAAAATTTTCGTTACGTTTATCGGTTCGTTTCGTCTATTTGGTTCCAAAGAAATAGGCTCATTAGTAATGCGAAAAAAGCGAAATCTAGATTCATATTTACTTGAAAATCCCAATAAAATTAAATCAAACTTTGCATGATGCGAGCTAAACAAAACTCTTATTTCATAAATCCCAGACTTATCATAATTTCTAAAAAATTCTTTAAATTTATTTCCATCTGGAATATTTAATAAATCTTTACAAAACAAAATTAGCTTTTGAATAGATTTAATATTTAATTTTTTCCCAGTAAATTCATCAATTTCAAAGGCATTCGAATTTTTAATTATATTATTTACAGTTTTTCTATATTCTTCGGGGATTTTCAGCCTTTCAGAAATTTTTTTAGTATTTTCACAAATATCAGCATAAATAAAAATAAAGTAAAGATGTAATTCATGCTTCAAACTTTTCAAGTCGCCTAGACTATAGGATAAAACACTTTTGTAAAGATTGAAGTAATCCTGTGTAGAAAGAGCATCTGAGTAAAGTGAAAATATTAAGAAGATTTTGAAAAAGTTTGGCTATTTTATTTTTTAACCCCTTAGAATTTTCCTCAGCTAGGGAAAGTTTAATGAGGTAAGGATGATTAATCTCGAGCTGGAGGATTCATCGAGAGGCTTCCGACCCTTGAGGCTTCCCGATGGGATTTACTCTAGATTCGAGTCTCACCAAATACCCGAAATGGAATGACCTATACCTGCACGTTTCAAAAGAAGCGTACTGTGTTATTATGGAGTAAATATGAAAATAATTTATTTGTGTTGTCGGTTTAAAAAAACAAGAGCACGAAAGTGTGCCATATCGTTACTGAAAATTAGGGATATGACACTTGTTGGGCTGAAGAAAATTCACATAATTTGATATCAAAAACGATCAGCTAAATGCTAGTTCGTTCCCAGAGCTTAAATAGCCTTTTGCTTTAGCTAAAGGTAAAATAGCCCAGTTTAGCCTTAAAATTATTATAATTTAACAGACCAATCTTAAACAAAACAGGATGGTTTATTTCCAAGTCTTCCAACAAAAAATCTCCAAGAACTTTTCGCATCCTTGATTTTGTTAAAGGAAATAATTTGTTTTTATTCATATTTACAAGCCTAGACATTAATTGAGATTTTCTTGAAATATTTGTTGGAGCACTCGAGCTACTACTTTCAGATTGGTTATCCTTCTGAAAAGTCTGTTGTATATTTAGTTTGTTGAAGCTCATAAAATTAGACTAATGAAATTAAATTTTTTCTGTTCTGCCCGTATTTGGAGAGATAAGAAAATAATATGCACCAAGGGTGCGGACAGATTTTAAAAAGCGAAAGACGAAAAGGCGATTTTGGGTACTTTTGTCTATGTTTTGGGTATTTCTTCTCACCTAATTTGGGTAATTTATGTCTATGTTGAGTAAAAATCCTTATCACTTAGGTGTGTTAGGGAAGTTACTGAGGGACTTGATCAATCCCGAAGATCTTCTAGGATTGTCCCGATCAGATCTCTCCACTTATAACATCTGGGAAAGGGCCCACCGCTTCGTCGCATAGTTCATAGGGAGAAGAGTTATATTTTATTATCCCTAAATTAAATAAACGATCCCCTGTTTAAATATACCAGGTCAAAATCAAATTCATTATCTATAAGCTGCTTAATTGCATTTAAATGTAACATTGTTATTAGCATACAGTCATTCACGGTTAGTTTAGAATTATCCAAAACTTTTTGATCCGTTTCTTTTACTTCATTTAAAGCCGGCACATCGAATCCCTTTAAAATTATTAATTGAGATAATAAAATTTTCAAAGATTTTTAGCTTAAAACTTATTTGTTTTTCGGAAATTTTTATGGCGGAAAGCCCAAAACGTTGTTATGTTTAAAAATCGTCTTTTTGCGGGGACCTAATGTCACATGTTAAACCGGGACACGCCCAAACGGACGCGGCCATAAAGCCGCAAAGCCATAACTTGCTTCAAGATTTCTTAATCTTAACAGATTTAGTATCAAACGATTTCTCTCATTGAGCTAAGCAGATTGGATCAAAATTGATAGAGACTAGACATTTTCAAATTTTTTTGGGTATTTTTGGTATAAATACATATATCGGGTATTTTTCGTCAGCTCGATCAGATTTTTAAAACATTCAACTTTTCTAAATTTTATTCTAAATTTCAGTTTATTTTCCTAATTGAACAAAAATTTACTAAAATTTACCCCGTTATAAGATAATAATGTTGCGATTGTATTTTCTTTGTTTTTTAAAACATAAACATGAATTCGAGAATATAAACCCTCTTCTACATTTAATTTATCCCTTTCTTCACTATCCATTGAATAATAATCGTTATCAAAATTATCAACAACATCACACAATTTTTCTTCTATAAGATCAACGGTAATCTTCCAGTAAAGATTATCCCATTCAGAGGATTTTATTTTATAATCGAAAAATAATTTAACATAATCATTGTCCACCGCTGGAAAATAATAATTAAAATTATTTTTAACTCTGGTGGAAAGGAGAGTTCCTTGAAAAGGAACTCTTTGTGGAAGAGGCGAAACTTAATAGAATTTGGAATCATTATCATTTTTTGATAATAAAAAAATCTCATTTCTCCAGCGAATTCGCACACACAGCTTAATAAATAAAAAAGCGTCGGGCCGACTGTCGAGCCAATTTTTTTCGGGCGTTAATTTTTATTTATTTTATCCTAGGCCCGACTCGATTTTTGGACCGAGTCGGTCTATTTTGACCATATAATTCAACATGATTAAATTTTTTGTACGCAACTAGAAGTAAATATTACTTACAATCCGTGGTTGTAAATGAAATATTAAAAAATAATAGAAGGTATAATACAATAAAAACTATAAGCATTTTTAGAACTAAATATATTGATAATTTTAAGAAACTAGGGATCAAAAACGGGGTTTAAGGATGGGGGGGGGGCAATTTTAATTTTTTTCTGATCCCTAGTTTCATGATCCCTATCTCAATCCAAAATAAAATTTTAAACTAGTGCCATGATTGCTACAAAAGGATTATTTTTTAATGCCTAAAAGAGGTATATGGAGTGTGAGAAAAACGGATTTAATAGACCGGATCAAGCCTGATTTTTTTGCATTAATTCGGTCCGGAAAAATCCGGCCGGAATGGTCCGCTCACTAATTTATAGAGATTTTGTTTAGAGATTTCGAAACACAAAAAAATTATTTATCTTAATGTTATTGCTAGTGAAATTATTAAAATGAAAAATTATAAATGAAGAAATATTTAAAAAAACTGTCAAGAGTCAACAAGTAGCATTAAGAATTGCATCATTTTTGTCTAAGCTACCATAGACTGTAGGATTAAGGAGAGAGGTAGAGAATATAAGAAATAATATGCAATTAAGGATATCGCGCAATAAAAATATAAACATACGTTTCTCGTTTAGAGGATTCTGGCATTCAATTTTGTGTGAAACAGATTTATCATTGAAGTAAACTTTAGTTTTATTTGTTTCCTTTTTTGATATATTTTCTGCTATTTTATCATATTCCTTCTCATTTAGTTTTTTTAATTTTTGTATTTTCTTGAAAATATTTTAATAAAAAAGATTATTTTTCAAATAAGTAAGAACGTAATTTGAGATTTGGGAAACACCTCGAACGGAAATCAGGGCTGTCCGTAATTGCGGATTGAGTGTGATTGCGGATTGAGTCTTTTGCGGATTGCGGATTGCGTTTGTGGAAAATTTTTTTTCAATTGTGTACAGCCTTGATGGAAACTCTATCATAAACTGATAGGTGTCGATGCCTCATATCAAAAATTTAACGCCTTACCTAGTGTTCACCATCGAAAGGTAAAACCAGTTATATCCCAAATAAATGATTTAATGTTAAATTAGTCTAACTACCGTATATACTCTATTAATTACCCTGGGTAATTATTGTTTCGACCTCTATTTGGAGAGGGTAACTAATGGAGATAGGGTAATTATTTGAGGGGGGGATAACTAATAGGGTATATACTGTTGTTTTAAGGCTCTGGTTTGATCGGGCGCAAGATTTTTTGGACTTTCCATGTCTGTAAAGCTTTCCTATCTCTAATGTAAAGCAATCCTATCCCTAATAATTATTAACTAATTTATAATTTAACCTGTTTGTTATTTAAATATTTATGTTTAATAAAGCCATATTTAAATAAATTTTGAACTCTTTTATAAATCATGCTATCAGGTGTTGCTTCTATAATAAATATTTTAAAATAAAGATTTTAATTTTTATATACCTTCAATAATCCCTCGGAATCCCTCATATTTTTCTTTAATTATTTCAATAATTTTATAATGTTCTTTTGCTAATTGTTTTATTTGATCTTCAAAATTAATTAAAGGTTCTTGTATAATTATTAGTTTTATGTTAATTTTATCAAATAAATCTTTGATATTTTTACTGTCATTGGTTTCCAGCATTTCAATTTGCCGAAGTGAGTAAAGAATGTTTAGATAATGAACACCAAATACCTAAAAATGCGATATATTTCAAATTATCATTTCACAAAAACTGGGGATAGAGGACATGGGAAGCAGCTCAGACTTTAATATTTAATTAAATCAAAAATTAATTTATTTTATCAATTCGTGATAAATCCTTAAACTTGCTTAGTATTTGAGTCAGTTACGGGCAGAGATCGGATATTTAAATCAAATTATTTGGTCAAATATCAAATAATTTGAAAAATTATTTGATTTTCTTTCGAAAATGTAAATTTGTCATATCTAGTATTTTTCTTACAATATCGCTCTTGACAACCGAAATTTTTGTTCCAAATCTCTTATTAGTATCTTTATTGTTATCGGAACGGTTTTGTTTAGTCTTTCTTAATTGAGTATCAGTATAGAGGGATTAGTGATAATTTAGCAAGATTTTGGGGATTAACACGGATATAGAGGATTAAATGTAGATCGTGTGATAATTAGTGATATCGAAGTATATTAGGGAATTTGAAGTAATTTGGGATGATTAAGAGAAATTTTGAGGGATTAAGAAGGATATCAAAGTATTTGGAGTCTATTGATAGAAAATAATCTGCATATCATTTGCCAGGATAAATTTTGATTATACTATGTTATATCCCAAATTTTCAATTCAATACAAACCTCTGCATATTCCTTCTCTTGATCCATCAAATAATCACAAAATAAAAGGAATCTTTCTCTGTAATTATTAAACCAAGCTTCTTTTACAAATTTATCTGCCTTTTCATTCAAAATTTTATCAACAGCAATTATTTGAATAAAGACATTAACTATATAGCTAGTCTTTATCTCCTCTTCCTCATCTTCAATAGTCATTAAATCGAGATAAAAGTATTTTAATTTTTTAATTAAATCGTCTTCACTCATTTCTGAATTTTTTGTATAAACATTACTCTATTTTATCAAAAATTTTAAATTTTCAGTTTACTAACTTTTTAATAACCGGTGTAATAAATAGATATACATATGTAGGTATGTATTACCTTTCTTATAAGCAATTAGCAAAAGAAAGAGTTTAGCAAAAATTTAGCCACCGGGCAGGATTGAGGCTTCGACCTCCTCGTAGTTATTGCTTAGTGCTTTCGCTCACCAAATACAGTAGCTATACTAGCATTACCAAAATTTATGGTAAAAAATATTTTGGGTTATTTACTATATTCTGTGCAATTGGTAATTCTTTAATAACCCAAGACAGTTAATCAGGTACCCCTTATGTTACCGCAAAGCTATAATTTCGTTAATAATTCTCGAATACAGGACGCATTGGATAATTCGATGCATATCGATGAGCTGAATTGGACGAAGTTATATTTTGAACGAAGTTATAGTTTTGCGGTACCTTGGGTAGTGTTTTTAGTTCCAAAAATTATTAGGTGAATTTCACATAAATAATACTTTAATATTTAACATACCTATTTTAACTAGTGTTCTAATATCCTCATATTTGTTTAAAACATCCTCACTTCCATCTAGACCTCCTAATAACCCCAAAAGTCGAGATTTTGCTCCAAAATTTCTATTTAGGAAAAAAACAAAATTATTAAAAAATAATCCTCCTTTTTTACTGAGATTTGTCAGACTTTGTGCATGTAGCCATTTTAATGATTGCCTAAATAGTATATACTTTATTTAAAATAAAAGGAATTTTTAGTTCTTCAAGTATCATACCTCAGTCTTATTCTTTTAAAAATGTGGAAGGATCACTTATATTATATCTTAGTAAATATCTTTTTGCTTGCTAGGCAGCTGGATAAACTTTCGTTATTTTTTGTCCGTTTAAAAATAAATATAAAATTATTATTATACATTTTTGCTAAAACTAATTAAAGATCGATGTAAAGTTAAGGGATGGGATTAGTTCTTATCCGCCGAATTCCGTCTTTCTAAGGCTCTCACACTCAGAGGTGGGTCAGAATTCCAATTTCAGTCTTTTTCTGATTTCCGAGTTCAGACTTTTGAGCCAGTTCCGATTTCCGGCTCTTCCGATTTCCAGCACCTCTGATTGTTCCGACCCACCTTTGCCACACTTCAACCTTTTTGTCTTCCGTTACTTATTTTCTATTTTCCTCCGCCTTCCGTAGTTAAAAATGCGGAAGGACCCATCATGCTAGACCCAATAAACTAATTATCTAATAATTTTACCTAGCATTATTCAATTGTTCAAACATTGAAATATTTCCATTTTCCAATTCAAAACTTTCCTTTACCACACTAATAAAAAATTCTTTTGTAAGAAAAGAATGAACCAATTTTTCTTTATCAAAATTTTTATCCAATAATTCATTCCATATTTTATTTAATTTATTTGATATATTTTTTCCTCCAAATTTTTTATTTAAATTTCCCCATAAATATTTAAATGAGTAAGATAACCCCAAATATATTTCTTCACTATTAAGGCTTTGAGGTGAGCACAAAGGTGTGGATACAGTTTTTGAGTAGAGTTGAATTATTAAATCGTCATTTAATAAATCTGTTTTTGGAAAAAGTTTTTTTTGAAAGTTTTTAGAAAAATCGAGAAAAAAACTCGAAAAAAACCTTCATCGAGAAAAAAACTCGATGAGAATGAGCGAATGAAATAATTTTTAAGATTTTATGGAATAGTTTTTTATAGCTTTTTTAAATCTTCGTTTTCATCGAGTTTTTTCGACAATATTAGAAAAACAAAATAAACTAGGTTGAGTTATAGTTTCTTAACATAGCTTAATCTTATTTATTAACCCCCTATTTATTAATCTTAATCCTATTTGGTTTTTAACATTTTTCGTATTTTAAAATTTCTAGTTGTGACCCCGGCATTGATAACCTTATATATGTGTAATAAGGGTTTTGGGTGGTTAGTTGTAATAGTGTGTTCTGCGCCTAACTTAATCGAGTCCAAGAACCGCTGATTTTTCGGTTTGGTTCTTCGGTTCCGGCGGATATACGAAGATTTTCCATGAGTTGACAACCCTATGTGTAATCATTAAAATCTCTGTTGGATGTCAAGCATTTTGTTACTACGACCTTTAATATCATAGATTAGGCCTCGGATTTTAAAATTCTTGGCTTCGACCCCGTGTGCTCAGAATTAGACTTTACTGGTTAGCTAGATATTCTTATAGCAGTTATTATAATAATAACAGAAATAATAGTCCCACCAAGTCTAAACAATACAGGATGCTTTATCTCCAATACTTCTTGCATCCAGCGGCCAATCATCTTCCTCATTATCACTTTCATTAAAATAAATTCTTCTTCTCGTATTGGATCTCCATTTACTACAGAGAATTGTCTGATAAAAGGACCATTACCTTTAACCATTGAATCAATCTCCTAAAATTTATTCTGTTAACATTAGGTGAAAAAATTATTTTGTTAACCCCCCCCCCCCCATTATTAATACAAAAAGTTTCTGATTCAGATCAGGGCTGGGCTAGTTGTGGATTGCGTGAATTACTCAAAAATCTAATTTTTCACCCCAAAATTGTGCTTACTCCCCCCCCCTATGGTTTTTCGATTTTCGGGAATCTATATCCCGGTCCACAGGCATCTCCGCAAAAAAGAGTGGTAACGTTCGACTCAGCTCGTCGAGACGAATCGTATAGTATGGGTCTTATATCGGACTAAACCTCCGGTATACTAAACTATATCCTTGGTTTCTTCTAAAATATTCCAATCGAGTGGAAAGTGTGGCAAGTTTAAGTTAAGGAACTGGGAGTCTTTGATCAAAAACCTTAAAATGAAGAAGCTTGATTTGTTCATTTGTAAATTTTTCTAGATCCTCCTCCTTATCTTCATTTCCCTTCAATTTATTTAGACTCTTTATCAGGCCTATATATCGACCAGCCAAATAAGCAAAATCTTGTAGTTGAATATTTGTGTTGTGGGAAAATAATTTAATAACATCTTCAATATCTTTGCTAAAATCATCCATTTTTTCATTATTTTGGGAAATTCTATTTTGAGTTTGTTTAGGCATTTTTGCCTTTTTAGATTTTAATTTATTTTTTTCCTGTTTATAATTTTAAAAATTAATTTAGATTGTAAACCAAGTTAATTTTTTAATGACGACACATAATCTGGACTAAGGTGTAATATAAGACCTAAAGGCATTCATTATAGCTTGTCTATTTAACTTGCTTAAACAATTTGTTTAAGTTAGAATTAGGGGCGGGCGAAAGGTTTTTTGCATTTTGGAAATTGTCTTCTGCGCCCGCCCCTGTTTAGAATTGCAGCTTAAGTTTAGTCACTTGCAATCTTATGGTAATTATTAGAACTCGGCTCCCGTACTGGCTTTAGTAATTATTATTAGATATTCTTTTACCACATTCAAATAAGTGGTTTACCCAAGGATTTCAACAAAATACCCAAAGATTTTCAGTTGGATTCTTTGGTTTGGTTCCTGAAACAGAAGATTTTCCAAGGGCAACTAACCCTACTATTAATGACCTTTAGGTGTTTTAAATTTTAGCAAGCTCGATTTTCATTTTAAAAATTTAAAACCTTTTTTGTGCTTTTACTCTCAACCATGTTTTGTTTTCCTTTAATTGAAATATTTATTTCCTCGCGCATTGAACGCATACTCTTCAAGATTAAATAACAACCCAATTTCATATATTTGCTTAAAAATTCTCCACTGTGAATATAATTCTCGTCTTTATTAAAAATCATCTTTAAATATATCTGATCAACTGTTACAGGATCAATTCCTTAATAAATTTTATAAAAACCGGCATAGTTTTAGGCTAACTAAACAGAGGGTATGTAAATTTAATATCCGTGACTTTAGGGTTTTGGAATTTCAATGAAGACATTATATTATTTTTGATAAAATCATTTCTGCCCTAGAATTTTTAGTGTTTAACAGTGTATTGGGCATTAACAGTGTATTTGTACAGGCTCTGACCTTTTCGAACACAGGCTCTGTCTCCGGGTATTTAAATTCTTGGCACAGGATCGGGCATTTTAAATTCTGGGCTCTGCGACGATTTTCAGAGTCCCCTCCCCATGTTGACCCGGCTACGGGAGCAAAATCAATGGATAATATTATTCCGGGAGATTTGGGTAGATTAAGTGGTATATCAAGTGATATCAGGGAATAAAAGGGATATTAACGAATTTAGCGACTCGGCTCCACCAAAGCTGGCTCCGGAGCTAGAAGCCTAACCAGCACTTGTCTTTAATTTATATTTTAACTAGAGCCCGGAATTTCGTACCGTACCGTATTCCGTACCGTACTACCGTATAATACCGATACCGATAAATACCGATGAAATTCAAAATTGTTCCGTACCGTATTACCGATACGGAATACCGAAAAATACCGATAAACTTGAAAATTTTATCGGTCGGTATTCCGTATCGTACTACCGATACAGAATACCGATAAATACCGAAAAATACGGCCGTAGTACGGTACGGTCCGGGCTCTAATTTTAACATCATATTGGAAAAACAAAAAAGTGGATTTATAGTTAAATTAATAATTAACCACAGTCTTTGTGTTTTTCAAAATTTTCCATAGAAAAGACATTTTTCTGGCCAAAAATTGTTAAAATTGCAACAATTAAAATTAATATTTTAATAAAGTAAACAAATGTTGATTTAAAATAATTCATGTTAAATTAAAATAATTTTAAATAAAAATTTAAATAAAAATTATAGTTGAGGAATAACAAGTGGGGGACTTCACTAACATAATTTAAAAAATTGAATAAATAAAATAAAGCTTTCCTTTTAATCAAGGACTCTCTTGACAGGCGAGAGTTAATAAATTTGAGTGAAGCGAGGCACTCCCTTAAAGCGATGCGAGGCATTCCCTCTTAATTACCTATTATCTTTTATTGATTTTCAATTAATAAAATTATTTAACATCGATAAAATAAAATTTAATTAAAAAACCTAATTTTAATAATTTATTTTAGGTCCCAGAAACGGATTCCAAAATATTTTTCTAACTAGATGCGATGTGATAAACAATCATTATAATCCTAATTATCACATTTTCTCTAATTGAGAGGCATTTCACACTATTTTTCAATGCCCTCCCAATGTGCCTCTTTATTGGAGAATGCCGTTCAAATAAAGACGGCCGTTAACTGGAGGGTACCTCAAATCCGGAAAATCTTTCATAGATTTTAAGAAGGATATAAAATTCCTTAATATCCCTTTTAACATCCCTCTTAATAAAACATTTAAATTATTTAATTTAAATGGTTATTTAAAAATATATTTATAAATTAAGGAATATTAAATTTTCTAATAATAAATAAAAAAAATTTATTTTAGAAAATGCTACCAGTAAAGCTACTTTTTTTAATGTCTAGTAGTTAATTCGGAAATAGTAGCTTTTAATTAAAGTGCAATATTGAATGAAGAAATTAAGAAATAATATTTTTTACATTGATTAAATTGAGTAAATACATAAATAATTAAACAAATAATAATAACCTAATAATTAATATTAAATTTTTATTAATAAAAATAAAATAAAAAGTAAAGACTTGTAATTAGAGTTTCACCGGAAGTTCCGGTTCGGTTCCAGGCCGGAACTTGAAAGAAAACGGCCGGAAAAAACCGAAAGAACCGGAACTCAAATTGAATCCGGTTCCGGTCAAAATTTCGGTTCCGGTGAAACACTACTATTAATTGATACAAACTTCAATGTAAAATTAATATACAAATTTATGCTATTTTTTTAAATAATCTGTAGTGTTATACAATTTCATATTATGATGATTAAATTAAAACCAATGTTAATTGAACAAGACATTTGGACAAACTCTATATATTTTAAAATTCAAATTAAAAAATGAAACATATTGCCTCCAAAATAATTTCCCGTAATTTAAATTAAACAGAAAAATAAAAAAAAAATTATAATAAATTTCTAAAATTTTTTATTAATTTTATCGAGTAAATATAATATTTAATTAAGATAATTAAGTAAATAAAGATATATAAAATAAAAATATAGGTAATTTTTATATCACATCAAGAGGTCGGTCGAAATTCTGACTTCCGATTCTGACGATTCTTCCGATTTCCGAATTTTGAAAAAATTTCCGATTTGCGGAAATTTTTAAGCTGATTTTAGGCTAAATTTTAGGAAAAATTTAGGCTGATTTTCAGTTTCCATCTTGTGAGCCAATTTCCGACAGTCCCTATTTCCAGTACCTTCGTCATTTCCGACCGACCTCTGATCACATCCAAGACTGTTTTAACATTTCAAAATGCAAGTCCTGTTCTTTTGATGCAGCAACAATTTGTTGTAAATTAATTGCTGTTTGTTTTTCAACATTTATTCTAGAAGAGTGTCCACATTTTATAAAATTAATTATTGTTGTTATTATTTTAGTTAAATTTCGATTTAAAACTGGGTGAAAGCTATAAAGAAATTTTGTTTTTGAAATGATTCAATAATATTAAATATAAGGAAGTGGAAAGTGTTATCCTGATCGGGAAGTGATATCGGAAGTAGAGGTCTGAAAAATCGTGTTTGGTTTAACTTTTAAAAAAGTGTGCAGGCGTTAATCTCACGAGAATAATCCTGCAAAATTCCGAGTGGGATCCCTCCCGCGACGACCTCTAATCGAAAGCTAATTTGTGCGAGATCCACAAAATTTTTCATCAAATACACATTAAAATTTTTTGCCATATTTTTAATGGCATTCGATTTTGGTATCATTCGCGCTAGAATATTGAATATATTACACCACAACGTACCGCAGAGCTATAACTTCGTTTAAAATGGTCGAATCCGTGACGTCCTGATATGGTTTGATTCAGCTTGTCGAGATGCATAGAACCATACCAAGGCGTCCCGGATTCCACCATTTTGAACGAAGTTATAGCTCTGCGGTACGTTGGCCTAATTCGCCCACAATTTGCTAAAATAGTTTGTATACTTACGTTATTACAGTTATCTCAATGCTAAGCTTGCAAATTGAAACCATTATTAATGAGAGACTGATAATATTGTCCATTATTTCATTTGATAAGTTTAGATAATTTATCATTATAGCTGTTATATTTGCACACAAAATATTTAAAAAATGAAAGAAAAATGAGGGTGCCAATTGTTTTCCCGTGTAAACATTTTCTAATTTTTGGTAACGCTCATTTAGAGTGTAATTATTTTTTGTGTTAGTTTTGTTATTCAAATATTTTTTATACATTTTTTTATTGAAGGCTGTTAATCGAGAAAATGCCTAAAAAATTTTTCTAAATTAAATTAAAATATTAAACTTACAATTAATTCTACTATGCTGAATAACAAAGAAACATTTATTAAAATAATGCTAAATAAATTAGATACATTGGCATTCTTAGAGTTTCTAGGTATTAGTCGATCAATTATTGTCAAAAACAACTGAAAATCAAATAATATTCTGAAAGTTTGTACCCAATAGAGATAGAGATTTTTGAAAAGCCTGGGTCTGTTCCTGGACTCTGGGTTTGATTTATTGACCTGGGTCTTATCGAGGCTCTGTTTATCCCCAATTCTTCATCTTTACCCGAATTCGTATCTGCCGACATAATATCCTACAATTAAACTACAGGGTTCCCCTGTAGTCCAGGAAGAACTCAGGCCCAGGAAAAAATCAGGAAGGTCGAAAAATGCCTGGGCCTTGACTCTAGGTACAGGAAAACCTCAGACCTTGGTTCAGTCCCAGCTCGATCTCTAGTACTCATCTCTCTCTCTCTCTGGAAACGATTCCCTTTCCCTCCTCCATGCAATAAATAAGAAGGCATTTTTCCTCAACGGCTGAAAAGAAAAGTCGGCTCTTTTTATCCGTTTCAAATATCCCTCTCCTATTGAGTTTATAAAAACTAATTTTATACCAAAATTAAAATACAACAAATTCCAAAAATAGGAAATTTTATTTGGTTATATTTTGTAACAAATAAAGTAGCTATAGTTCTCTCGATTATTAAGACGTGCCCAATTAAATTGCCAAATGTTACACAAACAAATACAATATTCCCAAAAAAATAGAACGTAAAATTAAATAAATTGTATTGTTTGAAGATTGTTAGAATAAGCCTTAAAAATTAAATTTAATTAAACATATCGGACCTCATTATTAGAGGATAATGTTAATAAGACGTCGAGTATCGAGTAATTGAGAAAAAAACCGAGCTCAATTATGCCAATTTGAAAACCCGAGCAATCAAGTCGAGTAACTCAAACTCGATTGACTCGGATGTACACTACATAAGACTGGCTATTATGTACAAAATTTGAAAAAATCATTTTATTTGTTATTATTTGGTTGATAAAAAGGAAATACATATCTCTGAAACTTTGGGGACTGTCTACTTCAACTGGCACAAAAATTATGAAGAAATTTTTTGTTGATATTTTCATCAAAACTGTGTAGAAAATAAAAGAACTAAGTTAATAACTAGGGGGGGTGGTACGGGTATCGGAATGGGGAAAAAATTTTTTTTCACTAGGGGAGGGTGGTGACTACTTTCCACTTTGAGATCTTAAACCCAAAAACTAAGGTTAATAAAATATTATAGGCCTTCAAACAAGCCCAAAAAAATTTTTTTATAAGAGTTATTTTTTTTTAATTTTTCACTTTTTATTCTAAAATTAACTTACATGCATAACCGTGTTGATGAATAAATAAAAATAGCAATACTTTGTGAAATAAGAATAATTTT